AAATAACGTATTTAACACTTCATAATAATAAAAGTAATTTTTGGTATGAATAATCAAAACACTTTTAACCATTACCATTCAGCATTATCTACCGTTTTAACAAAATCATCAAATCATTTCTTTTCATCCTACTATGTGTGTCTCACTTTGTAAATTTTTCGATTAGAATCACATAATTAATTTTCTGAGAACGTTTAACCTTAAGACGGAAATCCCTTCTTTTGATCCTCTTCCTGTTTGTCCTCTTTGGCTAGCAGCAGTTGACGTCCTTTCTCATTCCGCATAAGTCTGTCTAAAGGTCAGCTTTCTAAGTATAGCTGTGTCTCTCATTTTGTGGTAACGTAAATATTTATTTTACTAAAAAACATGGCTAGGATAATCAGATTAGTTTCACAAACGTATTTTATAGGTACGTAACTTTGGTTTAAATTTCCCAAGTAACATACAAAGTTATAAAAAGTTTTTGTAATTAATTAAAACGTTGTAGAATACACGTGAACAACACATTAAATAATTTATTTTTTAAACGGCTATACAACTTTTTAATTGTTTTTAAAGAATAGTGCGACATTTTTGTTAGACTTTGTTGGATAGGAGTTTAAATAATGTTAATTTATAAGAAAAATATAACAGTTAGGTTGTTCTAAAATGTACAGCATAATATAGTTATTATAACAATAATCGTTTAATTACTTCTATTTAAAGTTATGGTAAAATCTGACAAATTTATTTTTGTTTTCCTGATTAAACTGGCAGATTTTAAGTTTTTTTTTGCATCTTATAGAAATGTCAAACTGTTTAATTATTTATTTATATTTAATTTCTCGTAATGTAAAAGAATAACATTATTTAAAGATATTTCGTTCCATGCCTTTAGATACCATGAGTTCTTATTTTAAAATATTTTTAAAGAAAATTTTTTCTCGATTAACCGGCTTTTTCCAACCATTCGACAACACCGCATCGGTCACCGGAACCATTTACCGACTTCACACTCGGCTAGAATGATTTGCGCTGTCGCAGCAAGATACAGGAATGAACTAATGAGCACCTCGGAACTCTTATTCCGGATTCTGGAAAGCAAGCCCACAATCCGGTAATCCGACTGGCGATGCATCGCACTTCCAGAAATTCGCAGAATGCAACGTCGCATCGGACCCGGCCGCGTTTATCGCGTCAGCTTTCTAATCTAAAGGACCGTTTGATTACACGGCTTGCACTTTGAGGGTGTGTTGGTTTCCGTTTGTTTGTTCTGTTTCGTTAGATTCGAAAAGGTTGCGGTGGTGCTGAAAGCTTGTAAAGGGAATAGGCGATGATCCTATATAAGACGATATATGTATGTACAATAACTGAATAGTAGACACCTTTTAGTGGCGCTCAAGCCAATAATTTTTAGTTATTTGTGTAATTTGTTATGATGCCTTTTTACCTTTATCGTTATCTTTGTCGGTAATAAACAGGTAACGCTAGCTGTATTCCATAACACTGCGGCCTCTTGGATCTATTGTAATCCCATGCTTTTTCCATTTTTATTTACTATTTATTAATAGTCTTGTGCCTTTGATTAATTTTACTGGGTTCCATGCCGAATAGGAAGATGACAGTATGAAGTTTCTCCTAGCAAGCATTTTGCATTCGAAAATGACATAATATAAAGTGTTTTCTTCTTCCATGCAAAGTCTACTTATGGTGCAGACATTGTGTAGTCCTATTACATGAAGATGTTTTAGCAAGCAGTGTCCTCTTAGTAATTCCACAATGAGGTCATGCAAGCTGTAGTACCTCAACAGAGATGTGTTAATTTGATCTCCTTAGCATATTTGGTGTTAATTGTTTATCCACCTGTTTACTGCTTGTCGAGCGGAGGTTTTCCTTATCCCTTAGATATCTGGAACTTATGTCAGTTTCACCTTATTGTGAATTGAAAGATCATTAAGTATTTCAAGGCACTTCCAGACCAACTTTGACTTGATTTTGTTTAAACCAAGGTCTTTTGAAGGCAGTTTGGCAGTCCTGGAGAATCGAATTTGTCTGTTTTTTGTACTTTTTTGTTATCTCTTTCATACAACTAATTTTATCATTAGGATTTCTTTAAACGATATCACTTAATTAAGTTTGGACTAACATTGTACCTCATCCTCTATTATTCTTTCTGCGAACATTCTTTCGATAAAATCATCCTACCTAAAACTATTTGACAACTTCCGCTACTGGGAACCGATATATTTATATTGTATATGAAAACTAACGAAAATATCATGGCAAATATTTTGCTGAGACAAGTACTACATATACAATCGCAAGTCTATTGTAATATTAACAGGGCCTACTATAGCAATAGAACTTGGAAAAAGATGCTATGGCGTCGACATGTAGGCTATTCATAAATGGATTTGAATGGAAACTTTGAAGAACAGGATACCCTACATTAAAAAAATTAATACAACATCCGATGTTATTAATGTCATCAGATAGGATACCCATCTTTCGATGTTCAAATACCTGAAAGGACCAAATGCCGGGAAAATAAGGAAATACAAAAATAATAAATTTGCTATTCAGAGGGTTTGAGGATGAAACACAGCGCATGAGCTGGGATTTACCAAAGCAAACTCAAGGTTACTGGTAACAGTCTTCCAGGCTAAAGTAACATCAATAAATATCTTAGCCTGGGTTAAGCCTGACTTAACTGGTTAAGCCAGACTCCGGCAGAACGTAACACGGTTACTCTTGAATGATTGCCGGGGCAGGAGGGACCTGGAGCTCTAATTGAACCAAAACCTACACGCAGTATTTCATATCAACATATTACAAAAGGTTCTAATAAAACAGGTAAATAGAGAACGCCATAAGCTCTGGTTGTAACTTTTTTGAGTCAAGCAGTCCAAAATATTCATAGAGTCAATCCAGAAAAAGACAAATTTAACTACTGGACCTTAAAAGGAACGAATTAAAGACTGTATTGTACTATTTACGGGACACTGACGACTCCCTATGTAGAATATTCTCATTCCTCATTCCTTTGTTTCTTATGGTCCAATTACTGAAATTTTTCTGATTAATTATAGTATAGGCCTCTTAAATTTTTTGGAAATGGTCGGTATTTTCCTATGCAGATAATTTTTGTATATAAAAATTAATTAAATCATCTGTATTTTTATATTGATCTTTTGGAATTTGTTATTTAGGATTACTTTATCAGCTAGATCATCCTCGATTGTTGCCATCTCCTGTGGTAATGTGATTATTTTCCTTTGTGTCCTACATCGCTAGATATTCGTTTTCTTGAAGTATTGCTTTAATATATGTTTACATGTATGTGCTTGCTGTAGCTGAATATTATTGCAAGTTCACTTAAGGTCAGTCACTATTAGCACCGCTCTTATTTTGATATCTGAGCATGCGCAGATTACTTACAATCTAGAACTTTTATAAAGATTGTGCCTGTCCTCAATAGTGAATGTTTAAGGACATCAGTTAGTGGCGATTTTATAGTTTTCGGGTGCGCTCGCCAACATTCCTATCAGAAGTCTTTTAGTATTAAATATTTAATATTATCGTTAGCTAAACCTTCTAAAATGGTAATTTATAATGCCTCTTATGTACTATTATAAACAACAAAAAAGATGAACTGTAATTTAAATTTTTTAAAATGAGGTTAGAAATATGTGTAAGGACAAGGACTCTAATGTTAAAATTTCATGTTTGAAATAAGTCTTGTTTTAGCATGGAATTTATTTTCCTCTAATTAGGTTGTCACTTTAAGTGGCTGACGTTATAGAAATTTGCAATATCTCTCTAATGTTTGGTTTTACATTTGTATATAAAAATCATTTCATAAATTATATTTTTTGCACCATTTTTTCTGACCAAAAATTTCCCTGTAAGCAAAAAGAAAAAGCCTGCTCGAAACAAATTAATCCCATTCCCTCTCGCTCTAATAAACAGGTGTATCTGTGTGAGTACGCTCTTTATTCGGTTTGGAGTGTTAGAGTTGTGTAAAGAACGGAGTGCCGACAGGATTAGGTCCGAAAAGTCGAGGCTAAATGTGAGGAATGTGTTTTAGGCCGCATAAGATTATCGCCGCTAATGGAAACCCATATACTTTCCCACTATTTTCTCGTTTCTTTCTCGTTTAGGGTATTTAGGTGAGAGGTATTTGGGTAAACAGATGGGATAGGGAGTGTTCGAGTGATCCAGATTTCGAAAAGACTGGTTTTCTAGGTGAAATATTCTAAGTTAGAGTTCGATTAATTTTTAAATTCGAAATAATTTATCAAATGTAGAATTTCCTGTTTTAATTTGTTTCATTTCATTAACAATATTCAATTACATGTTTCCAAATGGGCCATTTTCTGGCAGAAAAATTTGGACAAAGAGTATCTACATAGTTTTCATAGAAGTAAAGAGAACATTTATTAAGCATTCCAATGTTCTCATAAAAAATGCAATATGGTCGCCCGTAGTCACACAAAAAATACTTAAAAGCAAGTTTCTAAAATGTCTACGTAGATAGAACTAAATTTCCAGAGCACCAATCGAACTGCTTACGAAATGTAACATCCTCTAGATAAAATTACTTCATACTTTATGAAATCTGTTGAGCGAGTTTACGGTTTTGCAACAACTTCCTTCCAAAGTTAATTAGAAATTATAAAAGTGTTCAACTTACTCTCCGACTAACGAAATTATATCCGCTATGGAGTTAAATGAACTTTTTGAAATAACCTTTTACGGAAAAGTGAAAATTATTAAACGCACGTAAAGCGGAAAATACTGAATTTTTTATGTTTTACGCTAGTGCAGGTATTTTATTACGTTATGCAAACTAAACAGACAACTTTTTTTAAACAATCTTAAGCACCGTTTTCAAATATGAGAACTTATAATCTTCAGAAGAAAAGAAAAAACAAAATTCAATAATAAAAGCCAAGAATTTTATCATTTTCAAGAAGTATTTTAATTTTCTACAACTGAAAATGTGGTGCTGTCTATTGACTCTTCAGAAACTTTGAAAAAATTAGCACACCTTATTAGCGAACTCAAAATTATTGTAATACATATTAATCACAAGCAGACGGTCTCTTCACCTCAGAGACATTTCTACCGCTAAACTTCTTCCAGTTCTTCCAATACCAACTTTGCACACCGCAATTCCTCTTCACTTTCTTCTGCAGCATCATCACGCCGTACAAGATAGCTTCGGCTGTCGGAGGACACCCTGGTACGTAGATATCAACTGGGACTATTCGATCACAACCTCGGACTACCGAATAAGAGTAATGGTAGTATCCACCACCATTAGCACAGCTGCCGATGGAAATCACCCATTTTGGCTCTGGCATTTGGTCGTAGACTTTCCTGAATGCCACCGCCATCTTATTAGTGACAGTCCCAGCGACCATGATGACGTCAGTTTGTCGAGGAGAAGCTCGAAACACTGTACCGTACCTTAAAACAAAGATGGGTTCAATAAAGAAGTACAAATTATGTTATAAGGGTATAAAGGTATCCAAGGAAATGAAAATACTATAAACCTCAAAGTGGAATTATAGAACATGAACCTGTATTTTGTATAGAAACACCTCGCTTGACAGGCAGATAGTTGGATAGCTATTTAAGTAAGACTTACTAGTAACAAATAAGAGATGCTTCGGTACCTGGCAGTGATCAGTCCTAATGCCTGTGAGAAAGCGAAAATTCTGTAATAATCAAGTATTTGTTGCAGTTTCTTGTTTCATCCCATCGTTTTGTAAATTTCACAAGGGAATGTTCTTTAATTAGTTCTGTCACTACCGATTTTGTCGGGCCAATAGAAGGTACACGTCCAAAAAGTATTTGGTAGCTACTTTCTTGGCCAAACGGTTACCTTTGGATATGGCTTGACCTTTGATCCATCTTAAGGTCAAAGCTTCATGACATTCTAGTACTAACCCTGCGTAAATTCGTGATCTAATCATGGTGAATAGTGCCTGTCTGCTATCTGTTTAGATGAGCATGCGTTTTTCATTGGTATTGTTTCTGGTGATTTCTTTTGCTGCTATAAGAATCCCGTGAACTATGTTTGAACTGCATTGGCACTATTGCTCAGATATGGCTGAGATACTTCAGCTTTAAAGGTCCCAAATATCTACACAATTATAGGATTACTATAAAAAAAAAACAGCTGAATCACCTACATGTGATGGAATTATACAATGATACATCTGCGTGTACAAACAAGACCACCTCAGGAAGCAGGGAACCAAAGGAAAGTAGGGAAATATAATAGGCACAAGATTCTGTAGTGTTCTGGGCTAAATCTAACCCTAACTGCTTATAATTAATCAATAGGTTATGCCCTTCAAATTTTTATCGAAAGAACTATTTATTCTTTGATTAATGCAGTTATAACTAACCAAAACAGATTGATGATTTTCTGGTCAAGTTAATAATCCACCAGTGGGTGATCTAGCTAATCTATAGTTTTACTATACCTGTCCATATCGTATCTTGGCGCAGCGTACTGCATCATCTCCACAGCGCAACAAGCTAGCCCAAATGTCATCGGCCACAGCGAACACTTTCTGCCCCAATTCAAGATATCATCCAAGCGGGCTAACACCCATTCTATTTTACCTTCAGTAGTCTGATGGGGGGAATATGGTCTGTACTCGTCGTTCTTGTAATGCGGACCCATATTTCTCGGGACTTTAAAGAAATCAGGATATTTGACTGGAGGGGGTTTTGGTTCAACGATTTTATCATCACAAGAGAAAGATGATTTTTTGTAAGACTTTGAAAGAAACGCAATGGGTTGGTGTGGGTTTGGGAACTTTAATAAACGGGATGAGAGACGGGTTATAAGTGTCATTTTGACAGAATAATGTATAAGGTATTATTAGGCTGAAGAGGATATAACGGAATGTTCACTATAGAGGTGGCTAAATCAAATTGATTGTACTAGTTCATGGAGGTAGTAGGATTATATCTTTGATATCATATCCCATATTGTTTCATTTTATATAAGATAATCACTCAAATTGCAGAAACAGAAAATCCGATTTCATTTATTTAAACTTGGTACAGTAATTTTTAAAAAAGGTAAGTGCCTCGTTAATGCCATTTTATGAAATTGTTTTAAAGTCTAAGGAAATTTCTGGATACCTAAATGGTCATGTATATTACTTAATTTTATATTTTTTATTGCGATAATTTATTTATTTTTGTATTATCAATAAAACAAACAAAGAAGTTACATTTATCCCTTGTCTCTATAAAGGTAAATTTTCGCCTTACAATATATTCTAAGATTTTCGCAGACAACGATTTATCTGGTGCTTAGATCTGATGACGATAGCCTGTCATCTGCTGTCAAATATTATTTTTTGGACGAGGGTAGCTTAAATAAAACAGACGAGTCGTATACTGTTCTCTCACAGATATCTTTAACCCTTATGTCATTAATACCTAAAATTATAAAACAGTAGCAGGAACGTATATAGTGCTTCATATATTATTTATATGAAAAAGTCATGCATATTTAGTCAAAAGATAATACCTAAAGGTCTTTCATAGAAATTCGTTTCTATTTGAACACGTTCAGAAAGCAAAAATTAGTACTTTAAGCAAAGTTGTCGATGCTCTTAGGTTTACAATAGTTACGAATTAACATACCATAAAATGACAAATAAATTATTTTATTCTAAAACAAATACATATTTTCAAATTTATATTATTATTATTATTAGCTTCGTTTTGGGATTTAAAAAAGAACAGTGGTTGTTGAAATCATTAAAAGTCACAAACTAATGTGTAGGTTCTTCTTATATATTATTTATTAAAAAAATCATCAGTTTTTATATTGAATTTTTATAGATCCAATAATTAATTAAAATCTTTTAGAAGGACACATATTAATCTCATTATTTCATTCAGAAAAATCCTTTTAAACAATAGGTAGATATTGTTTGCAAGGATAAAATTAATATACACAACATAAAATTACCTTTTTAACTCCCTTTTTTAATCAACTAACAAAAAATGCTAAGTACCACAAAATAAAGTCACCAGAAGGAAAAAATAAAGCAGAAAAACTCACCTTACGTTCAATAACAACATGTGGTTAACTAAACACAACCAAAAAATTAACACATTGCTTATCAATAGTTTTTCAGAAATGGTCTAGCCCACCCGAGTGGGTTAGATCATTTTTGTTTAAATCGATACGGATTATTTTAAATTTATGGGTGAGGATATTGATTCATAGCTCTAGGATCGCCAATCATATTAGATAATTTTTGGTTGTTGTACAGCAACCCTTAAAGTAAGTTTTTCGATCAACCTCTTTTTTTAGGAGGTCCTTTTTTATATGAGGTCGTTAAAAGCAAAACTGCCTTAACTACAATTTTATAATTTTTAGATTATTGTTATAAACTTCAGTTTATAATTTTCGACTGTAGAACTATCTAAGCCACATTTTGTTACCTTTTCATAGATTTTCATTTATTAGAAGGTTTATGTTTGGCGAGAATTGGCTAAGAAACACTGGCCGATATAAAAGAAGCACCTCTTGGCGACGTTGTCAACTACATTAAATCTGTAGGCTGGCTCACGACGAAATGAGAACTTGCTCCTTTTTTAAAGTATGTTAAAAAAGAGACTGATCCAATAATTAAATCTTGTTAAATAAAGTCCTATTAATTTTCATAACAAGTGCGCAAATTGTTCTTTTTGCGCCCGCAAAGACAGATAAACGACGCGAAATGGAGTTCGGATAAGTTTTAAGTTTTTGCTTGTGGAAGAGATACTTTGCGCACGTATTATGAACAAAAATTTTCCTACGACCTCTATTATATATATTAATAATTTTTAAGTATTAAACTTGGAAGAAAACTCACAAACTTCCTTTACAATTTAATTTATATTTTAAAAATTTTTATTTGTATATTTTCTAAATTATATTTTATATACGAGTATGTCATCGTATTAATAACCTTAGCATAATGACGCTTGTTTTTTTTAAATAAATCCTACCCAATTTAAAGCTAATCATAGTTTTTAAGACGTACTGAATTACACAATCAGTTCATAAATAAAATTCGCCAAATCCTATTTACTCATTTCTGTCCAAAAAAACCCAAATACTCCTTACATTAATTCCATTTTTCAAAAACACAAATTGAATTGGACCGAAATAAACGAAGCAAAGCGAAACAAAAAAAACACCGGTACGAAAAAATAAAAAATAACGGCCACCTGACGCTTTGCAAAGCCGAAAGCATGCGGATCGCCAAAAGGTCGAAACGCGCTTGCGTACTAGGTTTTCATCGCTTTTCCTGGCCGCATCCGGACCCAGTAGAAATCGGTCGAACAGACGCATCGGTGATTTTCGCGACTATTTTTCCGGATACGGCATGAGATACGCCGCTACACATAACCTCAAAAAAAAGACGACGATGGTTAGGATGATTTTGAGCTTTGTTTGAAAATTTGCATGCATGCTGGGGTTTGAATAAACACTAATATGTTTAGAAAGGGTTATTATACTATTTTTGTGCTGACTTTTCTAAATAAATAAACCATTTTGTCTGTTAGAAGTACCTATATTAATTATAATGGCAATAGCTGTGTTAATAAATAATGAATATTAGTTTAATTCTTAAAAATTAACTTTTCTTGACTGTTTGCAGACTGTATAAAAATAGTTGTGTATACAGTTTTTGTGCTAAAATAGACATTTTTTTCGTGCTGCAGAACTGCAAGTCATTTTTAGTTTGCAGGATATATTGCAGCAGGTAATTGTTTTTATTTTGATAATTTAAGGGATTTAATGAGTAATTGTGGCGGTGGTTTGATGTTTAGATACCTGTCACCTTTATTATTAATAGAGTTTATATTAAAATTACTTTTTTACAATTATCTGTTTCTGAAACAAAACTAAAAATTGATACCACAATATACAAGGTGTCCCGTAAATGTGTAATTGTTCAATATTTCAATTTGATTTAAATATATTTTTGGATATACAGGGTGTTGCGTTTTTTCCTGTCAAATAAAAATGTATGTATTATAAATGTAACACCGTGTGTTATATTTTTGGAATGGTTTGGTAATACTGTATTCAGCCATAGAATGTTTTTAAAAAAATATTGTAATGTTGCCAAGCAGTTAATTTTTTTTTTGAAATTAGAGAATGATGCAGACCCCAAATTAAATTTTCATATACCGTTTGTCCCTTAAGTTTTTAGCCACCTTAATTACAAGTACAAGTAAAATATTGTCAAATCACCCAGGAACTACCCTTAAATTTAAATTGTCAAATAGCACCCTTTTTTGTTTTTGTTTTTCTTATGGCTTATGGCTTTCTACCGAATTAGCCATATATTTTGATCTCTTTATTAATGTATATTCGGTTTGTTACATTTTAAATTTAGATATGTGAGGTATATTTTTTGGAAGGAACCAGTACATAAACACTTAATATTCCAGATATAAGTTTATTTCAATTACCTGGTTACAATTCAATTTACAATAAGGGAGATATTAACCGCAATGATGGAGTAGTAATTTTTATTAAAATACATTTAAAATGTAACCATAAAATAGTACAAATCGGACAGTTTAAGGCAATTCAAACAATAATTAAATTAACTAATAAAAACGAAATTCTAATCACATCTTCATACAAACCACCTCCAGTTAAGGAAGAAGAATTTGTTGATAATCTTCTGACATACCTGGAAGAATCAAAAATTAATTTAAAAATTAGTAGACATGTTTTTATAGGAGACATTAATATAAACATTAAACAACAGACAGATTTAGTATCTACATATCTAAATATTTTAGGTGAATATAAATTTGAATTTTTAATAAATAAATACACAAGAGTACAAGGGAAATCCAAAAGTTGTATAGACCACATTTTTTATAGTTCCGATAAATCGGATAATCACATAGCAGCAAATTAATAATACTCAAATTACTGACCATAAAGCTACAATTGCATATCTCTCTTTAATAGCCGAAACAGCACAAAAAAAGTCTTACATTAAGAAAATAAATCACATAAACCTAAAAGAAAATATAGAAAGTCATAACTGGGAAACATTCTATGACATAAATAATTCAAATCAAAAAATTAATTATCTAGTAGATACAATAAATACATACATGGATCAAAATACAAAACTCATTCATGAAAAAAAAAAACAAACTAAGAAAAGAAAATAGTGGATAACTAAGGGTATTATTAATTCAATTAAAGAACGAAATCGATTACATAATATTTATAAAAAAGACATAGAAAATATTGAAAAAAAAGAAATCTTTTTAAATTATAGGCTAGTAACAGATAGGCTTATTAAAAAATCAAAAAGAGAATATTATACAAAACAAATAACACAAAATAAAGAAAACGCTAAAGGATTGTGGAAAGTTATTAAAGAACTGCAAGGTAATAATATAAAAAGTAACAATAATGAATTACAAGAAATACTCACAGAAAATGGCCATGCAGTAACAGAGCCAAAATTACTGGCAGAGGAATTCAATAATTTTTTTGCCGAAGTAGGTATAACACTTGCTGATAAAGTGGGAATTCCATATACACATTCCCCTGTCAGAAATGTACAAAAAAATTCTATGGTCCTGTTACCAATGAGTCAATTAGAAATAAAAAATATTATTAGATCACTTCCAAATAAAAAATCACCAGGAATAGACAACATTACCACTGAAATTATTAAAGAAAACACCGAAATATTTACACCACTGTTAACACATTTAACTAATCAAATAATTACAAAAGGGGAATTTCCTAGTGAACTTAAAAAATCATTGGTAATACCAATATTTAAAAAAGGCAACAAGAAAATGTTAACAAAT